GGAAAGAAGGACTGACCTGCTTGGGGAAACTGAGGCACGGAGGGGAGCAGCCCCATGAGGGGTTAGGGTAGATGTGGCTGTAGGGCACAAGGCTTTACCTCGTTCCATGAGCCTGGTCAGATCCTGCCCCAACCCACGTGGTGCTTGCAAGGTCACACTGATGCCCCCTCTCTCACACTCTGTGCAGATGGGCTGTACCAGATCCAGGGGGTCTTCCCAGTCTGGGGACTGGTTGCACTGGTTGGCTCTGTCCTGGCCGTCATCACCTTCATCGCCACAAGCAACGAGGAACCACCCAAGTACCACTGTGTAAGTTGCCCCCCCAGCCCTGAATGCCCACTGGGGACCAGCCCAGCCTGTTCTGGACTCGCCTGAGGGTCCTGGGGGCAGAGCAGGAGTCAGGACCTGAGGGTCTAGTGTCCCCAGGAGGGACACAGCTGGCTGGCTGAGGCGGTGGGCCAGGTCCTGCTGGATGCACCCCAGGACCAGCTTACCTCTCTGCCTGGCAGGTATTTGCCTTCCTTGGATTTTTGGCCAGTGCCATGTGGATCAACGCCGCAGCCACGGAGCTGGTGAACATCCTCCGGACGCTGGGCATCATCTTCCAGCTGAGCAACACCGTGCTGGGCTTGACGCTGCTGGCCTGGGGCAACAGCATCGGCGGTGAGAGCTCTGCTGGCACCCGGGGCCACGCCGGCTGCACCTCTGTCCCCCCCGGCATTGCCCAAGGTCTCCCCTTCTTCCTCTGCAGACACCTTCTCCGACCTCACCATGGCACGGCAGGGCTATCCCCGCATGGCCTTCTCCGCCTGCTTCGGGGGCATCATCTTCAGTATCCTTTGGGGGAGGTGGTGGTACTTGGGACAGGGCTGCCTCAGTTTCCCTGCCTGCAGCCCACGGAGAGCCCCTGCACCTGGGAGACCCCTGGAAAGGAGCTGGGCAGGATCCATCCCCGAGTCCCTGGGACTTTGGCAACACCCCTGGTGCTCACAGGGTGCATGGAACTGGTGTGCTGGTTGTAGCCCACAGG